CAACCTCCTGTCGTCCCAAACGTGCGTCTCTCTCCAAACAACTTGCCTCATGACTCTTAGACTTTATATACACTGTTACACCTGTCTGGTTGCCCCTCTTCACTTGTTTCACTTGCCAAACTCCTATGCATCCTTCAAAACCCTATTTGGGTTTCCCCTCCTTTGGGAACTTTTTCCACATTCCTAGGCTGAGTCTCCAATCACAGATCCTGGACCCAGGGCTGTTGTGTTCCCTTTGGGTGCCCTGTGTCCAAGAGGGCACATGGAACTCACAGTTTTCAGGACACTACAGAAATGAGCAACATCACCCCAAGGGGGAAAAATCATTAGCTCCAAACTACAAAAGCTACAGACCCAAAGTGAATACATTTCATTCTATACCTACAAAACGTTACATCAGATTTGTCGTCCAATCCAATATTCAAAAATCTCTTGGGACATTTGGAAACAATTTATCAGCCAGATTTTTCTCACCTCCTAAGAATTCTCAAGCATGTCTGTTGATTGCAGACAAATGCGATCGAATCGTAAATCAAATGAGTTACTTGCAGTCAAGTAATTTCCAAAACCAGATTGTAAAAAAAATTTCAGTTTTTCTTTCAGTCAGCTTTATTGTGGGACGATTTACATGCAATAAAATTCACTATTTTTAAGTGAACTTGCTGGTAACATTTCACAAATGTATGTAGTCATGCGTATAACCGCCAGTAGGGTTGCCACAGAGACTATTTCCAAAACCGGAAGAAGTTCCCTTTCTGGTGATCACTTCCTCCACCCCTGGCCCCGCAGATCCTGTCTTCCCCTATAGTCTTGCCTTCCCTGGAATGCCTCTAACTGCGGTCACACGGCATGCAATCTGGTGTCTGGCTTCTTATATTCAGAATGATGCTTTTGTCCTTCATCGGTGTTGCGGCAACTGCCAGGGGTTCATTCTTTTTATGCAATAATGACCCATTGTATAAATTTACAATAATTCATCCAGGAGTCCTGGCCTCCATCTCCTCCTCCCTCAGACCCAGCAGTCTAGACCCCTAGACCCTCCTCCCTCAGATCCAGGGGTCCAAGCCTCCAGCCCCTCTTCCCTCAGACCCAGCAGTCTAGATCCCTAGACCCTCCTCCCTCAGACCCAAGAGTTCTTACCCTCATCCCCACCTCCCTCAAACCAGGAGTCCAGGCCCCGGCCCTCCTCCCTCAGACCCAGGAGTCCAGGCCCCCAGCCCCTCCTCCTTCAGACCCAGAAATCCTGCTCCCAGCCTCTTCCTCCCTCAGACCCAGGGGTCCAGACCCCCACCACCTCCTCCCTCAGACTCGGGGAATTCTGATCCCCGGACGCTTCTCCTTCAGAACTGGGAATCCAGTCCCTACCCCCTCCTCGGTCAGACCAGGAGTCCACGCCTTGATCTACTCTTTCCTCAAGGACCCCAGGGGTTTGGGAACCCCAAGGTACTAAATCATAGTTTCTAAGCACTGAAGTTCTCAAATTCTCTCATAATGTCTATGAGGAAGGTACTACTGGTGAACACGCATTTTAGGTGGGAAACAGGCTG